AAATATAGGTGTTATTAATAGAATAAAAAAATATTTATTCCCCCATCATATTTTGTTTACCTTGTATAATACTTTAGTTTTATCCTACTTAAACTATGGAATTCTAGCCTGGGGGAACGTATCCCGGTGTCACCTAACAGACTCCTTGTACTCCAGAAGAAGGCTTCATGCGTATTATAAACAATGCAAATTTCCAAGCCCCTGGTGATCCCCTGTTCTATTCTCTCAAAACATTAAATATATATGATCTTTACACCTTTCAGCTCGGTATCTTCATGCACCAAATATCTCAGATTGTTATTCCATGTTGTCTTGCATCAGTTTTCACTAGAAACACGCCATTCATTCTCATGCAACCCGACAATCTACCCATTATCATCTCCCCAATGTCCGTACCACACTCGCCCAAAAAGCCATTCCCTTCCAAGGTCCCAAGCTATGGACCTCCCTCCAGCGGCCCTTGCAAAATACCAAATCTGATATCATATTAAAAAAAACCTTCAAGCAATTCTTTTTAAATAAATACGCCTAAGCCTTGTTCGCTATTTATCTTGTCATATTTTAATGTATATTATGGTGTTCTATAGACGCCAAATCTGCGTCGCGTCGTGCTTTCACGTCGTGCCGTCGCGTCGTACCGTCGCGTCGTGCCGTCGTCCGTCGCGTCGTGCCGTCGCCCGTCGCGTCGTGGCGTCGCGTCGTGCCGTCGCCCGTCGCGTCGTGCGGTCGCCTCTTAAATTACCGTTTCTAAGCACGTACACTGCAAGAGGAAGCAACGCACCTTCACACGTCGCGTCGTGCCGTCGTGCGTCGCGTCCTGCCGTCGTCCGTCGCGTCGTGCCGTCGCCCGTCGCGTCGTGCCGTCGCCTGTTACCTCGGCGCCTCTAAGTAGACTGCTTGAAGAGGCGACGCACACATTGCCCGTCGCGTCGTGCCGTCGCCCGTCGCGTCGTGCCGTCGCCCGTCGCATCGTGCCGTCGCGTCGTGCCGTCGCCCCTCGCGTCGTGCCGTCGCCCGTCGCGTGACTGTATCTTTCTTGGCAATAGGTGGCGCCTTCATTCTTCATGTACATGTGTTTAATAGAAAGGGGTGTAATCATACATTTCGCCACTACATTTTAAGTTAAATGGAGTTTGGCCGCCACCATGCATTAAAGTTTTTATCAGACTTGTGTTTTCTTAAAAAGAAGTGGTTTTCTGGCTAGGAAAATAGCAAGGAAGAACCGGTTTTGTGCGAGCAAAATTCAGGGAACAATCTGTTGATACTAATAACTTGTTGGAAAGTTCCAAAGTCATTCCAAGAAAGTTGCCGCCGTGAATAAGGGTTTAAAACAAGGGAGGAGGATGGTATTTGCTATCAGAATCAGCAGGGCCGTTCCTCATTCTTTTCTTTTTATGGGATGTATGATATAATTGGAGTACGAGGGGCTCTGCGAGCTGATGAATCTTTTTGAAAACATTGTATTTGCTACCAGCTAGGGAAGATTTCCGTTTATTTAAGACTTAGAGGCACTGGTATGGATACCTGTGTAAGTATATGACTAAACTGCCCTTGTTTAGGTTTTTTTTTTCTTTTTTGGAAATTCAATACGCATATAGGGAGTAACATCAGTTCTACTGCTGGGTTGCGGTGATGGGTGGGTTACAACTTATCAACACATACCTCGCCAGCGGGCCCTTAGATTGGTGATAACCGGAGAGCGGGAGTTTCAAAAAAACTCATCCGGTGTTTACGCGACGCAGGGACTGGTTTGTGGCAGCAATTATGCGCCGCAGCACCTAGCAAAAAGGTGCTCCATAATGGGTCTCATAATGTTCATATACTTCATTTACGCTTTGGTAGCATTCTCCCCCAGCGCTTTGTATCCTCTGGCAAAAAGCGCTATATAAATACAGTTATTATTATTATTATTATTATTGTGTACATGTGGTTTTTTGTTTCTAGTTCACTTAATGATTTGATTTATACCGGTGATAATATGCCGTCCCACCTGTGTTTTTCTTTTGTGTGTGTCGGGGGAAACAGTGCATATTTTCTGTGCCCTTTTTACGCACTTCATCAGTCACCCTTTGTTTAGTTCTTTTATACGTATTTACTTTATTGCTAATGATGGTTAAGAATATTTTACGCGTGAGCATTTCTTGTAATGATCAGATTAAGTGGATTCCTTATTTTGTATTTTTTACTTCGAATTCCATGCCTAAATGACCAGTATGTTAGTTCTGTTCTTCAAGAAGTTCCAATAGGATTTGTACGTTCTCCTCATCCACGTGTTTTTTTCTTGGATGGTGGAGATGGGTTCATCCTTGATCGGACCAGGCCATCTTTTATGTTTTTTTGTCGTTTGTATGCCAGGATGGGTTGGGTTGCAAAGAGTGCACTTAGAAAATCATTATCGCTGATCAGATTCCAGTGTTTCAGAAGGGCCTGCTTAAGAGCTGGGTGTTTAATTTGTGGGTGGTAGGGTAAAACAAAGACCAGCGGGATATTCTTTTCGGATTTTGCACGCTTTTTAGAGTTCACGGAATCGCGTGTTTATGTGCTTTGTTGTTTGACAATTGGAAGCAGAAAAAAATCTATGCATTTTGAAATTGATTGAGCCGGACCTCCGCAACCACTAATAATAGGCCTCCCCACAAACCGTGTACAAACTGTACGACATTGCAATTTGCAACACTTTCACCGCACGGCACGCATGTCATAAATACTGTACAGGTACATGAAAAATGAAGGCGCCACCTATTGCCAAGAAACTACAGTCACGCGACGTGCGACGGCACGACGCGACGGGCGACGGCACGACGCGACGGTACGACGCGACGGGCGACGGCACGACGCGACGGGCAATGTGTGCGTCGCCTCTTCAAGCATTCTACTTAGAAGCGCCGAGGTAACAGGCGACGGCACGACGCGACGGGCGACGGCACGACGCGACGGACGACGGCACGACGCGACTGACGACGGCACGACGCGACCTGTGAAGAAGCGTCGCTTCCTCATGCAATGTACGTGCTTAGAAACGGTAATTTAAGAGGCGACGGCACGACGCGACGGGCGATGGCACGACGCGACGCCACGACGCGACGGGCGACGGCACGACGCAACGGACGACGGCACGACGCGACGGTACGACGCGACGGCACGACGTGAAAGCACGACGCGACGCAGATTTGGCGTCTATAGAACACCATAGTATATGCTCCAATAAATTTGGATCATTTCATTCTAATAAAATTATCGACATGTACGTACTCTTTCTTTTCACTTTATAATGAAATCGATTTTCTCTTGCCTAGTTCAACTTGAGTCATTTTCACTATTAACGTTTAGCTACTGATCAGAGGTGTTCTTCTTGCTTGTGTAAATGATTTTGTTCTATCATCATTTTTACCTACATATTATTGTAGTTTATTTTCATTTGTTCCGGTTTGCCTTCCATCCCCATTGTCTTGTTTCATTCATGTTTGTTGTGTTTATAATCCATTTGTCTGTGTATATAATCATGCTAATTATCGGGGTCCATACCCACAAGCTAATCTTTCTTATAGATTCCACATCTCTATTAATTGTATTTTTTATCTGCTTATTACCTTGTACTCATGTAAATTCAAGACTTAGATTTGTTCAAGTGCACCACGTGGCCGATTAATTTTGTGCCCGATTTCGAGACGCCACCATTTTTTAAATTTCGGACTAAAGTTTATGACCTTCAAATTATTCACAAGGGTTCATCTTCATGAATTATTAGAATAGTACCAGTATATACTTAAGTGAATCAATTTGAAACCTGTCAACAAAGCGATTGAAAACAAATATGTTGCAACCTGACGCCACTTTTTTTTTTTCATTTAATATATACTTAATGACAACCTCGTCCCCAGTGCTTACTTTATTTCCAACGTCGTTTCCAATAGTTACCTATTTGCACAACCGTCTTTGTTTCCATTCAACTCCGGTATCTACAGGATTTAGATATGGGTAAGATAGATTATCGCCGAAATTTGTCCCCTTTTTGGCCGTTAAGAACCCCGAACGTCCTCAAATACACCCCAATCCTTACCCAAACCTCAAATGAAAGCATGGGCCTGACCAATAGGGAAAAACAAGACACCGGACTAGTTGTACCTGCATTAACACTCTCTTGCTTTTTCTTTTTCTTTTGAATTCGTAAACCATAAAAATTAATCAATATGCAAACTTATCTATGCCAATTGCTCGGCGACTGAATCAATTTTCCTTGTTTTGTTTTATTTGCCTGTTTGGTCCCATTGGTAGGTGAAGGCAGTCACATGTGACATCAAGGGCACCTGCAGGCTGCCCCGGGAAAGCTACTTCAGCCCCAAGGCCCGAGTTCAGCAGCCTATAGAATTCCCCGGCGGTATCGGCCTTTGCACCATGCTCAGCTGGCAAGACCGCGTCACGTAGTGTCTGAACCGTGCTCTGACGCCTCATCACTCTCTCCACCTGTGTGTAGTGCTTGTATGTCTTCCGCGACGCAAATCTGCAGTAGTCCATTCACGATCTTCAAAGAAGTCTGAAGATGCAAAATACAACTTCAGTCTTGAGTTGGGTCCATTGCAAAATAATGATCCAATACCAGGGTGAGAGATGAGAGCAGGTAGTGGTGGGCGCGTACTGCATGCTCGACACCCTGGGGGGGGGGGGGGGAAGCAGGTAGTGGTGGGCGCGTACTGCTCGACACCCTGGGGACGAGGTTGACTCCATGAAGGTCAGTTATTGCAAAAATTATGATATTAAGACCATATACTATAGCTATATTGAATAGCTCTATGGATAAGACATGAATCTGGGACTGAGAAACATTTCCCAATTTTGTTAGGAAAAACTTTCTGGCCATATCTGGCCATCACTTTTCACCCTGTGCACAAACCGTATGAGAATCTCTCCTTGCGAATGAAAAAGAAGCAGAAAGGAAATCAGTAATCCGTCATTAAAAACGGCACGGGCGCCGCCATCTTGCATTATGTCGTGCCCAGTGTAAATTTTCCAGCATATGTACATACAGAAGAGTACGCTTTCATAGTATGAGGTTGCGGTGAACCCTTGATTTAGACTGGTGCCACTATACGCAGATCGCAGCTATAATATAAATTTGAAAGGGTACCCGCCGGTGTTTTTTTAGGAGAAAGTTTATTATTTAGCAAGTAGTCATACTCATAGGTCTACATGTCACAGAGCTAGTAGAAAGAACACTATTTTTACATCAGAAAAACTATAATTGTTCAAAATGCCACCTCCACAAAAAGACAGATGTATAGCCGTTATGGGCTTCAGATCTGTTGGTAAGTACTAAAAAACATGATCATCGTTGGGTGCAAACTAGCCCGACTGCGTCTGGCCGTACAGTACTATCGCTAGCCCCATAAATGTGGCCTATTTACTGGACTGCCTCCGTAAACATAGGCCACACATCCACATGTACAAAAATCGTGTCGACTTTGCCAAATTTTGATTTTCACATTTAGGCTTAGTTTGTAGGGTTTTTTTTGCTTTAGAAGCATACTCACCCTCTTTATAGGCTAATCAGAAAGTGCTGCCTTTTTCAGATGTCTAATTTTTGTGAAATTTCATGTTGAAATTTTGATACGCAAACGTGTAAAAATGAATCTGGAAATTTCACGAAAAATTAGACATCTGAAAAAGGCAGAACTTTCTGATTAGCCTATAAAGAGGGTGAGTATGCTTCTAAAGCAAAAAAACCCTACAAACTAAGCCTAAATGTGAAAATCAAAATTTGGCAAAGTGGACACGATTTTTGTACATGTGGATGTGTGGCCTATGTTTACGGAGGCAGTCCAGTAAATAGGCCACATTTATGGGGCTATACTATCGCAAGCTCTGTAGTACGGCCAGACGCCCAATGCTTCCACAAAGACTGAATTTTTTCCCCGCTGATGTAGCGATTTTGCTACAGATTTTGATCGAGATTATCTTTTCATCCAGGACACAAATTTCCAAAGTTAAGGTTCTTAGTCGTAGAGCAACTCATACCTTTTCGAAAAAACGTTCTTTGGTCTCAATATTTTCATCCGATCTGGCCAAAAGACGACTTAAGTTTTAGTCATCATCTTCCACAAATATCGTCCTGAAAATGTCCTCCATGCGATTTCAAAATGGCGGCCGTGTTGTAATGTATGCATTATGCGAGCGTGCTTGCGTAAGATAACTTACCTGCCGCCATTATTTAGTTCATGACCTCGTGTTTGTATGGCCAGCCGCGCCGGGCGCCCGACAAACTTCATAAACTATGATGCATATTCATTATCTTGAATCTGAAAAAAGTGGTGATTGGGTATCCGATTTTTTCCGAAATATGGGCACATTTGGTTTGAAAAACCATCATTTTTTGAAATATCCCTGAAACAAACCCTTACACAATGGAACAGCAATAGCCTATATACTGGGTGATTGGCAGACTTTCGAAGTAGATTTAGCAGAATTTTCCATGGTATTAGTATTACGGTCATCCTGCCATGTAAGACTGTTAGTCTGGTATCCACTGGTGGGACTCCTACTGTTTTGCGCATGTGGAACCCGGGGTACCAGAGTGTCATGCCTGTCTTTGATTTTCTGATCATTTTGAAAACATTCATTGTGACAAAGTTGTGCCGTATTTCACTTCGAATTTCTTGACAATGACAGATCCAACACTCGCGTAAATTCACAGGAAGCCTAACAAGTAAGTGATTTACCTATTGACAAAATTATACGTGGTTATATGTAGCGGATCAAAAGTTATAATGATTTCGCTTGTATTTATGCGAGGGAAGCGCGTGGCGTTGTATACAACGCCACGTTCACGGGTCTAGATTAACTCCAGCTGATTTAGCGCTGGAGACAGATTAGCCCCATAAATGTGGCCAATTTACTGGACTACCTCCGTAAATAAAGGCCACACTTCCACCATGTACAAAAACATGTCGAACTTTGTCAAATTTTGATTTTCACATTTAGGCTTAGTTTGTAATTGTAGTTTATTCTAGAGACAGTTGTACGTTGTAAAGTGAGATTTTAAGAGACCTTAAGAAACGGTCTCCACAAAATTACCCTTTTTCCCTCTATTATCCCAACCCAGATTCCATTTACATACCTCATAACCATGCAGCAGTCATTCACAAAGCTAATGATCGACTTCAAACAGAACCAAAAAAAAACTTTAAAAAAGAAAAATGTTGATGATTTCGGTGGCATGTCCATAACAAATGTCCAGTTTCAACAACTGCTTTCCACGACAATGCACCAGACGAAAATTGAACCCACTAGCGGCACCTGAAAGCGGTGTGGTACCTACATCATGCGAACAGATTGTTCGATTGTCATCACGTGATGCATTGCATTTGCATAATTAACCATGCAACATGGATGACAGCCATGAAACTGGACTTTTTTATGAACAAGCCACAAAAAAAGAAGTGGAATTTATAAAAAATAAAATATAAATCCCCCCACCCCGACCAATTTTTTTTTTCAACCTTGAGCGATAAAAACCTTAAAATTAATGTTGATCGGCCTTATGATCGACTTAAAACAGAACAAAAGTTACTAAAATATGAAAAATATTGGTGATTTCCGCCACTTAAAAAAAAACGTCCTGTGCCGCTGTACTGTCATGCATGGCTGTGTTGTGGTATTGTGAGCTTGTACAGATTAGCCAATCGAGGAGTAATCTGATGCTGATCGGCACAAGCAATAACCACAACACCATGACAGCAGCGGCACTGGATTTTTTTTCTTAAGAAGACACCGAAATCATCAATATTTTTCATATTTTAGTAACATTTGTTCTGTTTCAAGTCGATCATTTAGCTTCGTGAATGACTGAGTGCAAACTATGAGGTATGTTCTGGGTTGGGATATCTTGTCATGTTTATGGAAGCTGGGGTTTTTTTAGGGTCTCTTACAATCTCACATTTACAACGTAATTTTGTCTCCAGTGTTACATGTGAGTTCCTGATGAGCACATCAGCTGGAGTTACTAAAGCTAGATTTAGACTACTTCCAGAACTGTAAGGTTTTTACAAACCTTACAGATAGACTAGTTGAAGTTGCTGTGTCAGAAACTTGTCAATTTTTTACGAAATGTTATGCCCCAGTATTTCACAGGCATTATTTTGACATGGTTATGTACCTCTAGGGTGGGTTCAATGTCAAACAAAAGCATGAAATTTGGTTGAGAGCACAGCACCCTCAGTCAACAGCCAACGATGACAGCTGGCCGAGTAAACTCTCTGTGATCTCTGTTTATAGCGAAATTCTGGTAAATTTCACGGGTTTTTTTGACGTTTCAGAGATTTGAACCCATCCCAGAGGTACCTAAGGCCAAAAAAAAAAAAAAAAGTTCTGCTTCCTGTTTCCCTACCTACCTACCCTTTTCTGATAGCCCCCACTAGAATTTTTTGTGGGAAAACTGAGGGAAAGAACCCATAACCATTAAGGCCAAGTAAAAAAAAAAAAAACATGTTTAGCATCCAGAAGGTGCCCATTTTATTGAAGACGGATTTGCCAATAGCTATCCTTCGTTTGATTTCATCTTGGCATCGCCCATCTTCCGTTATCATTTGTCCTAAGTAGATGAAGGAGTCGACCTGTTCCAGTTCTTTCCCGTCAACCTGGATGCAGGTTTTAGACTTCCTCTTACTGATGACCATTGTTTTTGTCTTCTTGACGTTCATTTTAAGCCCGTGTTTTTCGCTTTCTTCTTTGATTTTGTCCACAAAGTTTTGTAGATCCCTTTCTGTTTTTGCCATGAGGACTGCGTCATCTGCATATCGTAGGTTATTCACATTGAATCCTCCCACATTAACCCCTCTGTAATCTTCAATTTCTCTGAAGATCACTTTTGTGTAGATATTGAATAAGCTGGGTGAGAGTACATATCCCTTTCTCACGCCGTTCTTGATTTCAACAGTGGGCGAGAGTGTGTTGCCAATCTGTATTGCTGCTACTTGATCCCAGTACAGGTTTCCAATCAGTCGGATGTCTTTGCCGTCTAAACCGATTGCTTGCAAGCAGTCGATCATTGCTTTGTGGTGAACTTTGTCAAATGCTTTTGCATAGTCAATGAAGCATACATGTACCTCAGTGTCTAGTTCTATGTGTCTTTCGCTTATTGATCTCATATTGATGATTGCTTCCCTTGTTCCGCTAGAAGGTCTAAATCCACATTGCTCCTTCCCAACTTCTCTGTTGATCTTGTTTTTAATACGCTCCAAGATGATCCGGAGTAACATTTTTACCACGTGACTCATCAGACTGATGGTTCTGAAGTCTGTGCAATCCATGGCTTTCATTTTCTTCGGGATTGTCACAAAAATTGATTGTCTGAAGTCTTCTGGGATGTGGCCCGTATTGTACATGTTATTACACAGTTCTGTAAGTGTTTCTAAACTTTCTTTTGCCTTACCATGTCAAACTAATGCCTGTAAAATACTGGGGCCAAACATTTCATGAAAGTAGAGTTTGGAGGTTGGAAAAAATGGACAATTTTCTGCCACAGCAACTTCAATTGATCTATCTGAGTATAGCCCTATATTAGTCTATCACTCAGGCCCCGCACTAGAGTAGACTCTGTGCGTGGGGCCATAAGTACGTTCCCTCAAAAGGTTGGTAATTTGAAGAAAAAAAATTAAATTCATGGAAATCATTCGAACTCATACTCAGAATGCAGGTTCAACCTCTCAATATTTGCCCAAAATGGTGAAATTGATCTCTTATTTAAATTTGTTTGCCAACCGAAGTGGAAGTTCATGACAGGCAGCTGAGTGAAGTATAGGCCTATCTAGTCCGTTCTCTGACCAAAAGAATTCGCTTTCTCAAATGCCACAGAATATACTACAGGTGTTGCGCACACTTGTATAGAAAGAAATGCATACAACAGGTTACTACTTAGTAGTATTTTGTAGCTTTAGGTGAGGTTTGTGTTAACGTATACACATGAAGGGCACCGGGCCTGGATATGGCCGTATCATATCCTGAAAACAAAAGTCACATTTGGGATCAGAACAGCCAGCCAATCACAGTGGAGTGCCTCGATTATTTAAGCTGAGTAGGACATCAAACAGCCATCGGTTCAATGGACTGTTAATTGTTATTACCTGCTAGAATGCGACTTTCTTACCTGTTTTAGCACTTAGACATATATGCGAGTCACGGCAGTTCAGTCGCTGTCATCATTTTACCCCTTAATTTTCCTCCTAAATGAAAAACATGCACTCTTTCTACAAAATTAAGCCTGCTGATATTCAATATGGTATTTTAAGTATAAAATGTTTTGATTTTACTTTTTGCAGGAAAATCATCATTGACTATACGGTTTTTAAATTTGACATTCGTTTAAATTGTCCTTTACTTTTTGCAGGGAAATCATCATTGACCATACAGTTTGTGGAGAATCAGTTTGTGGATGCCTATGACCCAACCATTGAAAACAGTAAGTTGTACATTTGAAAATGGTAGGGAGTGAATTCATAGGGAGGGGGAGTAAAAAAAAAACCAGCTCTGTCCAAAACATTTTTATTTCATAGAAGTTCATTAAAAATATGGGAATCTTGTTGCTTAAGAAATATTTGAACACATGTCCATGCATCTTCATTTAAAAAAGTTGTATTTTTAAACAATTATCAAACTTACTCAAAAATGAAATAGAAGTCCCCCCCCCCCCTCGGTCCCCCCTCTGGATACGCCACTGGGGTTGCCATTTCTCTCGCTGTAATTTTTGACAGAATGATTGTTAACCGTAACCACCCTAAGCAACATTCATGTTGGAATTTAACCTACATGTAGGAATTGCTCAAGAAAACATCATGAAAGTTACTTGGAGATGGGTAAAATTGAATTTTACTTACGACCTTTAAAATCTGGCATTTTTGTACCTAGGTCTCCTTGTTCAGTCACGTTTGTTTTCAGTTTACATCATGTACTTGCTCGAGAACAAGAATGTAAATTATGTATAACGACGCGAAAATATACCTACCTACATCCGAAGGATTCTACATTAATAATCAGGCTGGCTCAAGTGCATTCCTTATCACCGGTCACTTTACATTTTTTCATAAATGCTAATGAGTCTTTTAAATCAAAAAAATTGTAAACCTTAAAAAGACATCTTGGTCTTTTATTACCTTTCAGTTTTGACCTACTTAGACTGCCACAAAATTTTAAACATTTTCATCCATGTACGAGAACACCAATTTGCACCAGTCCACATTTAGTTTAGATTTTTATGCCCCGCGGCGAAGCCGAAGGGGCATACTGTTTCCGCCTTGTCCTTCCGTGGGTGGGTGTGTGTGTGGGTGTGTCCGTACAAATCTTGTCAGCGCGATAACTTGAGAAATACTTAACATATGAACTTCAAATTTGGTTTGTGTATTGTTCTTGGTAATCCTAAGAACCCTTTTGCATTTGGGGCCGAAAGGTCAAGGATCAAGGTCACAGCGACTAAAACAAAAGAAATTTTGTCAGCGCGATAACTTGAGAAATACTTTACATATGAACTTCAAATTTGGTTTGTGTATTGTTCTTGGTAATCCTAAAAACCCTTTTGCATTTGGGGCCAAAAGGTCAAGGGTCAAGGTCACAGTGACTAAAACAAAAGAAATTTTGTCAGCGCGATAACTTGAGATATACTTTACATATGAACTTCAAATTTGGTTTGTGTATTGTTCTTGGTAATCCTAAGAAACCTATTGCATTTGGGGCCGAGAGGTCAAGGGTCAAGGTCACAGTGGCTAAAACAAAAGAAATTTTGTCAGCGCGATAACTTGAGAATTACTTTACACATATGAACTTCAAATTTGGTTTGTGTATTGTTCTTGGTAATCCTAAGAAGCATATTGCATTTGGGGCCGAAAGGTCAAGGGTCAAGGTCACATTGGCTGAAACAATAGAAATTTTGTCAGCGCGATAACTTGAGAAATACTTTACATATGAACTTCAAATTTGGTTTGTGGATTGTCCTTGGCAATCCTAAGAAGCCTATTGCATTTGGGCCCAAAAGGTCAAGGGTCAAGGTCACAATGGCTAAAACAAAAGAAATTTTGTCAGCGCGATAACTTGAGAAATACTTTACACGTGAACTTCAAATTTGGTTTGTGGATCGTTCTTGGTAATCCAAATAGGCCTATCGCATTGGGGGTCGAAAGGTCAAGGGTCAAGGTCACAGTGGCTGAAACAACAAAAATCTTGTATTTATTCTGAGATCATAGGGATTAGGGATTAATTCATATAAAACCTACAGAAGACACTAATGCTGTCAATGAACGTTCCATGTGACCAAGGTACATGTAAGTTGATGTTAAAAGAGTGGTGTAATGTCATGGGAACAGTCACGGTTGCGGGGCATTTGTGTTTGTAAACACACCTGACTTGTTTGGAAATGAGACATCAATTTTCGGCACGATTTTTCTCTTCCACGTCAGAATATTTATCAATTTCCTTTAATCAATATTCAGTTTTACAAAGGATTGTTTTGGGGGTGATTTTCTTAAGAAACCAATGTACCAAAAATAATTGGAAATTCTATCATTAGACTAATTTTTTCTTTTCAAGGGTTCCGAAAGCGCGCCACGAGGGGTAAACTTTCCGGTTCTAATTTCATCTTGTCATTTATGAAAACTTGGGCTTTTTTTGTTGCAGCATTTGAAAAAATGATCAAACTTGGAACTCAAGAATACAAACTAAAGATCGTAGACACGGCCGGCCAGGATGAGTACTCCATCTTCCCTCAGTCTCTGACCTTCACAATACATGGTTATGTCCTTGTTTATACTGTCACATCGCAAAAAAGGTGATCTTGAATTTATTTGTAAATTTCATAAAAATTTACATTTTTGCTTTGTGTTCTGTCCCTTTCTAACAGGACCACAGGTGCAAATGAATTTCAATGAAACCAATAGAGAGGAGACAATGAGAAGAAATTACAGTTTTAGAGGTGGGAGGAAAAGCCCAGAAGAATATTCTGGGGAAAACCCACGTAATCAGGTAGGGACTGAAAACCCAATCCACAAATTGGCCCAGGTGGGATTCGAACCAAGGTCACAGCGGTGGAAGGCGGGGAAGTACCGCTACGCCAACCTGAATCCCCAAGAGTCACCCATTGTTCAACAGGACCTCTTCCTAACCACCGTCTGATATACATGTATGTGAGCAGTGCAAATTTATGCGACTCCGCACCTGCCAGCCAATTAGAGTCAGCTTTAGAAATTGTGACGTCATCTTGATCAGAAATGTGGACAAAGCTGTTGATTGGTCAATTCAACGGGTTACGGAAAACCCAACAGAAGGTGCCCACTGAATGGTCAGAATCTTGAGGTCAAGACGCAGTCTTGTTTTGCATAATTAATCACCGCATCTGCTCACATATTATAGACTCTTGCTGTGCAAGAGGATATTTCATAGACTACAAATCATGTTGTATACTATTGGAATTTTATACCATGTATTTGAAATTAAATAAGATTCACCATTTATAGAAGTGCAAAGAATCAGCAGACTTGTGGACAACCAGAAAACAAGATTAGATAAAAGAGAACAGGGGAAATTACTTGATGTTTGTGGCAGAATATGAATACATGACTGATTTACAAGTATTTTTCCTTTTCTTCCTCATTCAGTTTTGATGTAGTAAAAATTATATATGAGAAGCTGTTGGATACCACAGGTAATGTCAAGTAAGTAAATGTAGGATGAAGAGAAGATAGACCCATGGGTCTTTCCTGATGCATCGTCTGATAAACAGAGCTGTTAATCAGATTGGGTTTGGTAAAAGTCTTGTGGACTTTCATAGCTGTGCTCCCCTATTCATTTGGGAGGGAATTCTTTGGCTTTTGTGCTTTCGAAACCTATTAGGGCCTAAAGCTTTCAAAAGCAAGTTATGAGAAAATCCAACTCAGGATTGGGTTACTGCTCCTCACTGATGTCTTGTTGAATAGTTAAAATCCAAAATCTCCTACTTATGTATGCAGATGTCTTAATCATTCCACCATCAAGCTTACTGGGGTTAGCCGGTCAGTTTCTGATAGCAGAAACTGCAATCAATAACTACATGTGCATGAAGTATGATGGAATTTTTGAGTTTGAGACATTAAAAAAAAACATATTTTGAATGGCAGAAAGCAAACATTGAAATTATTTTCCCCCTAAGTAATTACATGTATCTAATATTCATTTGATCAGGACACTTGATGTAGAGGCTTTATGAAAGTTATTTAAATTGCTTGGAAAGATCATAGTTTCATGACGACACGAAAAAGCTGTCATACATTGCTCACTTATATAAAACAGTAATTTTTTTTTTCTTCGGTTGAACTTAATGTTTGATAAAAGTTAGCTAGTGTATACTTCCCACGGAAGGAGCACCTTATTAAGGAAACCTCAAGTTCAAAAGTGTTATGTGTAAAATATGCGTTTTTGCATGCGATTGAATGTACATTGTACTCACAAATTACTGACCATTTGACAAAGAGTGAAAGAACTTTTAGCATTGGGAAGAAGGAAAAAAAGATACACAGCATTTTCTGTTACTGTCAGCAATTGTTACTTGGTCCCTTATATTTCATTTTGTTTTTCCTATGATGTTATCTAGTGTTCCCGTTGTTCTTGTTGGCAACAAGAAAGATCTCCATATGGAAAGGTAATGTTTATTGACGATAGTGAGTTAAACTGAGGACCTCTCTGAGTACCTCTATGGGCGAACATTATTGCAATGGTGGTTGCCTCCAGAGGTAAACATGCATGCCTCTGGGGGTAACCATCATTACAATTCGCCCTTTTCACACTTCCGCCATGGCATGCACAACCTCGATCTGGCAACTTTACACAATAAATATAGCCAGTTCAGTGATTCCCGTGTCGGGGTTCAGATCACTGGACCGGCTATTTTTATTGTGTACAGTTGCCAGATCGAGGCTCTGCATGCCCAATGGCGGAGCGTGAAAAGAGCGAATAATGGTCGCCGATAGATGTACTGGAGACAACCCCCCCCCCCTGCCCCCCCCCCCAAAAAAAACCTTCTTGTTCCGTGGTTGTGGGGACTACATAGGAGTTGTCCCATGGTACTATGGGGACCGAAGCACTGTGGGACAGCAGAAAGTCCCACAACTCGGTCCTAATTACCCTAACAATGAAAAACTTCCCCATAATGTTACAGCCCGCCCACACACACACAACGCACAAATACGTTACACTGCTTCCCAACAGCTTCCCACCAAGGTAGAAAGTAACTTTTTGATATCAAATTCAAGATATCTCAAAATGCATTTCAAGATATCGCAAAATCCATTAAAAAATATCTTGAAATTTAATTCAAGATATCTGGTAATCATTCCTTTTTTTTATGTCAGTTTGAATTAAATACTTTCTCCCTATCACTGTCCAAAATAATGTTGGCCATAATTCATACTTGCAAAATAATTTTCAAAGCTGTGTGTTTGTAACAGGGTTATATCCACCGCAGAAGGGAGGGAATTAGCCAACTCATGGAATGCTAACTTCATTGAGTCTTCAGCAAAGCAGAACGAGGTGAGTAAAGAACCATGTCTAACCGAGTTGAAATGGACATTTGATTTGTTTAGTTATCCAGTTTACTCATGAGATAAGATTGGTCATGAAACATTTGATTGAATGCTGCATATTGTATATCCCCCCCCACCGATGGACAATGGCCTGGTACCTTCAAACCTTTTGTGCTCAAATTGTTCATCAAACTCCACCTAACGGTAGCTCCCAGACTAATAACACATCCCTGTTACGCTTTATAGGAAGATACACCAAGATATCGGACCTACATGTATTAGCTTATTTGAGGTATGGCTGACACAATAGGAGGGTGCTGTTTGATTTGTTTACAGTCTCTTGTGTTTTACTCAAACCAAACAGTGCCCTCCTATTGTGTCCATCATACCTCAAATAGGCTAATTGGCATAGTGGCATGGTTTATCAAATTGTGATTTGAGATATGCTGGACTGACCTGGGTTATCTATAGACCAACACCGCGTTCCCACTTGAATTGGAAAAAGGTGGATCAAGATCCGGCATTTTGGTGTGATCGTTATCTTACCGCAACGAAACCGCAAGTCGCGTTCCCACTTATGCTTGATCCACCTTTTCGTACGGAAATGTTGGGTACGAAAGGTCACTGAGTTCGGAATGGACCGATCCAGTAAGCACCGCCCCATGGTATTCTGACCAATCACAGCCGTGATTTATGTCCGACATGCGTGCACAAAAGTCCGACATGCGTGCGCGCGCGTATGATGCGCGCGGCAGGAAAATGCAGCGTGGCATTGGAGAGGAGCACGTGTTAATTTGCCCACGTGCGCACTGGGCGGGGCTGACTGGATCGGTCCATTACGCGCGCTCTGTGGGAGTGCCATTGTTGCATGGTTGCATGCTAGGCCAGGATGGGTCAGTTTTCAAACAGCACTATCAGAATTTACAGACAAAAATTACGCGAATTCACCAACATAAATCACGGATCCGTAGAGGATCCGTGCGTGCATAAATTAACAGGTGAAATCCAACAGAGCCGCTCATTGTGTGACATGACGGCAGAAACCAATGCATCGATAAGGGATTCCCTGGTTCTGAAGCTTCTCATTGGTTAGAAACGGTCACATGATGTACTACGACATCATTTTCCAATTTTCTATAATCAATACTTCAGATTTGTCACCTCCGTACGTACCGCGTTACCGGCACTATTCTCATCGCATACTCGTAAGCTTTTCCATGATTCTGTGCCAAAGTGAAGTCTTTTGGTGAGTGCGGACTCAGAGTCATTTATGGATGGAAAAATAAGTAAAATTTCAGGAATGAAAAAGGTTTAGTAATGGACGAACACGCAACAAAAATAAGGCCTATAGTGTAGTTTTAGGATACCACGTGCGCTTTTGCATGCGCGGTGCTAGCCCGTAGTTCAGCGGTTGTTTATTGTGCATGTTGTATACGCTGGAAATGTTCACATGAGCTACACGCCTGAAAACGTGTTTCTTCGTTCATGAGACCGCATTATTTTCGCGCCACTCGTGCACTGGGCGGATGTTAACAGGTCAAATTGCCGGATCAGATCCACCTTTTGCGTTCCCACCTGATCGTGATCCGGCAATTGCCGGATCTGATCCACCAATTGGGGGATCTGTATCCTGGTCCAGAGGTGGATCAGAAAAGGTGGATCTGATCCTGATCCACCTTATAACGGTTAGCGTTCCCACTACACACAATTGCCGGATCTGATCCACCAATTGGGGGATCTGATCCGGCAATTTGGCAAAAGGTGGATCAGATCCACCAATTGGTGGATCAAGTGGGAACGGGGTCCAAGATGCATTGCCGATTATCTTGCAGTTTGTTGACACATATCACAGATCTAAATAAATTGTTCTTTAAACTACTCAGGAAGCTGTTGGGAAGCTCACATATAAAATCCACCGTTGATCCGTGACCCAAAACGGTGCTAAAATGATGATTTTAAGTTCAGGTTTTTTCTGTTTCGGCGCTAAAAATACCGAGTGAAGAATTACGTCATTATTTTCCAACGACCAATCAGCGAGGCCCTTCTATCGTGGTGCGGTGAATGGACCAATAGCGGGCGCTGTAAGTAAGAGCATGCGCGGTAAGCACTACTAGACAGCAAGATGGCGGCCGCCATGAGTTCCTCGGACGACGGCGATTCGGACGAAACGAAGTGCATTATGCATGTTTCGAATGCCGAATCGAGCGTTTTATCGTTCTCCGAGACAAGCTGGATAAAATTACACGCGCAGAAATCGTGGAAAAAGCGGAGAAGTTCATCGGCATGCACGTGCACCACTGACATGACTGATGCAGCACTCTCGTGGAAGGAGATGTGTACCGGAATCATCGGCCTACGTTAGTTCGTATTATTATTCTTGCCTTGAACCTAATTGTAAGAAGCCGTTGGATTCGGAATATTTCAGAATATTTTTTCTACAACCTAGATTCGTATGATGTGTGATTTGTTTTGTAAAATATGTTACTAGTACTACTAGTAGACCATCTGACCGTCCATTGTTGACATCATGATCATGGCAAGTTAGGAAAAGCCACAGATCAAAGATTTTTTTCCCCCTCACTCAGATGTAGGATTTTAAGACAAGGAAGAGACTCTTATTACATTGCACAACGGAACATTTTATATTGAGTAGGCCTATGCTTCCTGAACTTGGCGACTGTGTATAGAACGGCCGGTTCCCTTGATTTAAAATAAGGAGAACAAAATCCACTTTGACTTTATACTTGGCATCATTGGGGACTGTGTAGTATGTTGTGGGTCTACCATTCAATTAATTTATAATTATCTAAGTACCAAGTCGTTAAAACCAACATTTTGCCATTCTTTAAGCTGTCAGCCCATAGCGTCCTCATTTCAAGTGTACTTTTATTTCCTTGCTATTTTTTTTTCTACATAGTATAATATAATAAAAAAATAATGAGAACCTGCCCACTTCTCTTAATGTCAAGCCCTCACTGTCAATATATTTAGATTTTAGATTTTCACTTTTTTTTCCATTTTTAAATTTTTTTCCCTGATCACTACATGTGAAGAATAGTATACAAAAAATAAAATGTTTGTACCTGAAGGTGCCATGGTGTAAATATTTTCCTAAGTTAGATGATAGAATGTTCCATTCTACGAGGTGAAGCTGAGTTGAATGGAACATTTCTCTTTGACCCATAATCCTCCAATCAACTGACAAAGATTTACATTTTGAAATAATTGAAATGAGAGTAATGAGTGATATTGTAAAAACATTTTCTCAATTACAGGCATTTGGATACCATCAACACATTCAGCAGTGCTACAAACGTCTGTCATGTTTCCATGATAGACCGTGCAGAAAGACTTGCAAAGAAACAACAACATGAAAGTCAAGGTATTTTTGCCTTTTTTTTCCTATGGAGTCACATGAGCACACTCACTTGAAAAATATAACATGTCTAAAGCAGGGGCTGGTTGGAGATAGAGCCTTCCTCTACACAACTTTAGTTTGAGTCAAGGTTTCATAATTTTGTAGCTAAATCAAATTGGAAATACTTGCAAACATATACAAGCCCTACTTTAGAATTGACAATCTCTAGGAATTTGTTTCTCGTACAGTTTAAAAAAAAACATTCCATTCATTGCTAATGTTTATTTCTCAAGTTAAAACATGCAGTGCCTGTTAAACAATAAGACAATGCAATTTGCAATTAAAAACTGCTCATTTAAGAAAGGGATTTTTCTCGTAATTTGACAACTTGCAGATACAGCATGTTCCAGATGGGAACTGTGATGGAGTCAATGATGCCGCCAAACAAGGATGCCACGTCCTGAAGTGCTGTCTCCACACAGAAGAGGTTGGAAAGTCATCGGCGATGACATCAGTATCCACTGGATGGATCTTCCCCCTGCCCCAGACAGTGTCATGGAATTTGCCCATTGCTCATGTAAAAAAGTCAATGCACAAAAGGCCAGTGTAGCTGTCTTGAAAAAAACTGCCATGCACAGACTTGTGCAAGTGCACCAACTGTGAAAACATTCCAAGTGAAGGGCAGCGCACTTCACCCAAAAAGGATTCAGATATCGAGGACTGACCATCACGTACATGTACATGTATGTCTATCTAAATAAGGAATAGGATTGTCACTTCAGAAAGTTTGAATCACACAGTCTGCTTCCCATCCACTTAAATATTTCCAAATATGAATCAACAGGACTTATGTTTAACTAACTTACATTGTTATGGATGTACACAACTAAAAAAACACCAAAGTTCAGTCTTACGGTTGAAATGGACACCGTTGACTTTGTTGCAGGATTTTTCCACTTGCAGTTTCAGCAAGGGGATGGGAAATAATCTTACTATGTGTTTTCCTTTTTGACAATCCTTTTTCTTTTTAAGCGCTGACCGTGAAGCCAAAGAAGATTTTTTGTGGTAATTTGTAAGGGCTTAAAAACAGTTTATTCCTCTTCAGTAATGTTCATGCTTACAGTCTTATTTGTTGTTGATCAAATAGACTCTATAAAGACATCCTTGAGAGCTTTCTGTTACTGTAATTCCTATTTTTTTTTTTTAGGGGGGGTGCAAAAGATTGTCCTCCAAGATGCTATGCAAAAGGCCCAAAAGGCTCTAGGTTGATGCCTTCGTGCAAAGAGAAATGTTTCACATTTTATATTAGAGGTATTCACCAATCCTTTTATACATTGTACCATGTTCTCAACAGCAGTTATGGTTTCTTTGAAGGTTGATGACATGTTTCGTGTTCTCCTTCGACCCTTCAAATGATTTGAAAATTATACAACGGAACTCGCTGTAGATAATGGATGTAGTTTCCAGATGCCATTGGATTCGCCATTGAAAATTCATGTCTGTTCACCATTTTTGCAATGACTAACCTTTGTTGAGATGATATGAAGAAAAAAGGGGTGCCAGGTTACAACAGTCTTTCCCGGAACATGTTTAATATGTAAGACAGTTGAAAAATTAAAAGTACATGTAATTGCAGTTTATTTTAATCCTCAAAAATATTGGCTCCACCAGAGACGCAAACCGCAAGCACTGTATTATAATTTTTGCCAATCACAGTAATTATTTCTCAAGTCTTTTTATTTACTGTTTACCGTTTTGTTTTTTGTATGAATAAATATCGTCAAAGGCTGAAGTTATAAAGCCCTGTGGTCATGTTTATTTTTTCATTGAGACTAAATTCATTCGTATTTGTGTCGGACACTATGTTGAATGTTATTACATCATGAATCAGAAATACTTTGTAATTTTAACCAAAAAAAAAATTATACACCACACATGTAATTTAATAATCAATTATACCCTATTAAGAAGATCAGAAAAGAGCAATACATGTACATGTATTCTAAATGAAAATAAAAACAAAAGGAGTAAACATTTGCACTGAGGCTGGGAAAGGGCTTGTAACATCTTCCTTGATTTTCAATGGGATGGAAAATTTGATATTTAAATTAATTATTGGAGCATTAAAAGTCACCCCAAGTTCCTTTTTATTGAGTCTTGGTTCTGTAGAGACCCTTTTTAGCAAGCAACAGCAATAAAACAATCTTTCCCATTGAAAATGTGCACAGTTTTCCCAATCCTGGTCAATAGAGGGCGCCCTGTTTTGAACCGCTGATTAAAATGCAAATATTTAAATGATTGGTCACTTTGGGATTGTGGATTTTGGTTTTTCGTGATCCATATGGTCTCAGCTAATAACCTGCAAAAATTCACTTAGTTCTGAGAGGTGCGCCAAGAAAATCACTTTCTCTAAGCACATTTTGCAGCCATGCCCCGTGGTCTACTATACACTTTGCACAAATGGTGCTTTTCCCAACATGCTGACAAAGGTAACCATGAAAGTGCCTTAATTCAGTGATTTGTGTTCTTGGGTGGGCATTAAGATTAATCTGGCCGAATGGTTGTGCAATTTAATAAGCTTGTCAGAGTAGAAGTGTGCACAACTTGTCCTGTTAACATTATAGTAGTCAAACAAGGGGCAAGATCATGGCACCAATTAACATGTTAAACGTTGAATTGGGAAGGTAGGGTTTAGCAGATCGATGAAGAAACCCCATTTTCATAGATATTTTCTTGGCAACATAATCAGTGTGATCGGACCAAGAAATATTCTCATCAAGAAAAATCCCAAGATACTTATACAAATGAACTTGTTCGATGGGATTTGCACCCGAGAAAAGGCAGGTATCCTTGGACGAGAACAAATATGAAATTAGTTTTACTCACATTTAGTGTAGGTTTATGGTTCATCAACCAATGAGTTACTGGACAAAGACCATTCACCGTATCAGATTCAATGCCATCAGGGTTTGTGCCTTCAAACTTTATCATGGTGGTGTTGGCATACATGTTCACTTTTGTTCCAGAAATCGATGCTACACATGAATGTGGGATATTAATAAAAGTGATAAAAAGAAGCCAGCCAAGAATTGACCCTTGTGGAATCCCTACATCGGATTAGCAAAACAGAGGTTATGCCATGAACCTTTGTGGCTTGTTTTGTACCTGAAAGTCATACTGGAGTCACCTTGGCCATCTTCCAGCCCTTCAAAGCCATAGCATCTTCGCATGAGCGTCAGGCGTTGTCGGCAATGCATTCGTATGTCACCCAAGTGGTCCCCTAACTCTCCCTTTCTTACCGTTGAGGAGGTACTTGTGCATGGGGCCCATTGTGCATTGTGGTTCCTTTGTCAATTGCTAAAATATTTCTGGATTTTTTTTTTATTTCAGAGTGTAGTGGACATCTTCAAGACATTATTACAGATTATCGAGAAGAAAGATGGAGGTACACAAAAGAAAGACAACGATTGTGTTCTTCTGTGACCATGTCTTTACAAAAGTACCTCATCTACCAGCAATAAAAGGTGCACTGTCATATTTTTAATCTTGTATTACTACTAGTTGTATCAGTAAAAAAAACAGCTTTTGACCAATCATGAGCTGTCCTACATTTTTAACTGTTCCAACACTATATTAGAGGCTAGTAGTGAAATGAATTGGGTTTGTATAAATGAAATCGCGTAAATGCTTCATGTAAGAATATAAAAAAAACATAAGAGGCAGCGCACACACTTGAAACAATTGGAGTGAAAGCATCAGCTCCATTTCAAACCTGTGATATGTGATACTTGTGATATTTGAATAGTTCACCTCTACATTAAAACAAAGGTCCAAGGAAATGACGTAATGTTTAACACGGATGTAAATGTACAGTATATGCAGGCCTTCATTGACATGTAATCCAATAATGTAACAGGTCTTCCAAAATAGTCTCAGGCCTGAACAGGCAAAGTAGTGACTCCATCCTAATGAGTGCCCGAATTGCAAAATGGGACCAAGCATTGGTCAGCTTTCACAGTGCATTTTCTTATTTAATTACATACTACTTCTGACTTTGCCCTAAGCACACCCCTGGGCCTGCCTTTTGTTGTGAAATAATAACAACATCATTAATTTTATTCTTTTCTTTACCCTTAAAGGAAAACTTTCGTCTGGAATGCTTCAAATAACAGTTTGAATCCTAAAAAAGTAGAAAATAAACTTTCACACATTGCAAATGTGCAGTTTTCATGTAGTTGTCGCTCAAAGGAATTCATGGGTTTAAGATTTTGCTCCTCAATAATCGAAACTGTTAGAAATGCTAGTCATCACTTGAGTCCCACATGTTCTTTTGAAAACGTAAATAAATGTATGTGCGCTAGGATCGCCATGATCATAACTCTGAAACTAGAGTGAGACCTGATATTCCACAGAGAAATGTCACACATTTTTGTGGCACCAGCCTTTCGTCAAAAGTTTTGCTCAAAAATGTGATGGCTTCATTTGAATTCACTTCTGGAAATGGGTATAGACAAAGCAAAACTCGATGCCCATCAGAATTAAACAAATGGGAGTTTTCCAACATTTTCTTCCTTAGTGTAAGATATTATGCATATTTTCTGCAACCCAGACCTTTGAAATATGTCTTGTAAAGAATGTGACGCAAAATATTGCCAATCTCCAGACGAAAGTGCACCTTTAGAATTACTAATACATATGTGTAGTAATGCTTTAATCACTGTTTTTGAGAAATGTATAACCGATAGAATTGTTGAATAATGAAAGCCGGACGTTTTGCTCCAAAAGGTAACACCATAGCCCGAGAATGATCACCAACAAATACCCAAATTGTTTCTAGGTTTAATTTTGTGACTTGAGTAGGCAGTTAAGTTCAAAGATTTATATTTTAGCTTTGAATGTTGACGTGCATTGAAAGCAAATGCATATTTATGTTTACATCTCCCATCCAAGAAGTATGTGATTGGCTGTGTATGAACAACTTTGACTCAAAAATGTATCTGTAATTATATTTATGGTAGACTTGGAACATAGGCCTAATTGTTTTGTAATTATTTGGTTTGACGTTTTCCATATTTTGAGGGATGTTGGATGATTTGCTGTTTATTGCTGCATTTCTAACAAAACCTTTTGAAAGTTGAATGCCGTTTAAAAAGAAAAGAGAGAACATAGTCCAGGTTATAAATGGAATTGTTGGAGTAGGTCATGATTATCTCAGATGACGTCGAAAGCGCTACGCACAATAAGAAACTTGAACATTGAATAGTCTGAACTTGTTACGGACATAATACATATTTCATAAGAAGCAATTTCATTTTTTTTTAAGAAATTACACTAGTAAATGTACGATAATAATAGAAGTATAACAATAAACAATGAAGGTTAATCATTGATGACTTATTTCCTTGAAATTGGCACTTGGTCTCAAGAAAAATGGTACAAATAAAGAAAATGAGGAAATAGTGAATGAGAAATATGGTCTTTCCCACACAAGTATTGTAAGGCTGTGTGTGTCCACATAGTGCAGGACAAGGGTGCTATATATGTGGACTTGTGTAACCTGGGGAAAAATGACACGCTGTATGGGGGAACTCGCACTAAATAGACTCTATGGGGATTTTACTAACCAATCTAATTGAAACTCGGGGACTTTGGAAGGAACGGTCGCGAGGAAATTGAATTAATAGAGACCAGAGACAAGATTTTAGATTTCAAATAAACGAAGGACAAACATAATAAAGCTGAAAATCAGGACTTAACTAAAACCAAAATGGAAATTAACTAAGGGAATAAATGTGTGCTCTGGAGGTTTTTATCACTCTGTTAAAGACCACTTAGAGTCTGGGTGCTGATAATTACCCGAGCCGGAGGCGAGGGTAATTATCAGCACCCAGACTCTAAGTGGTCTTAAACAGACTGATAAATACCGACGGAGCACATATTTATTCCCATTCATAAATACCTTTTCGGTAAGAAAAAATCATATAATTCGTTCAAAACATCCCGATTTTGTTCAACAAATTCACTTTATGCTTTTTGAAACATCCCTCTTGCAAAATAATGGAGTGTTCAGCTGGCGAGTAAGATGTAAACAACCCTTTTATGGAGATTGACGCGCGCGTATCATGTTCTGCGCGATGTCGCGCAGAACGCACCTGGCGCGTTGCGTTTTGAATTTAGAACTATAAAATTCTGACTCCCTGGTAGTGTTGCGCATGCCTACGTGAGGATTGTGAGCGTTCAACCAATGAAACGATAAGAGGCACTGGATTTTTAGGAGTCCACATTTTATTGTGACACTGGAAAAGTGTTTAAGACCAGCTAGCCATGTCTTTATCACCCGTTTAAGGCCGGCCACGTGACGGGCTCTCGACCAATAGGAATGGCTAAACTGTCTGAGGTATTTATGAATAAAAATTAAAAGAAAACAACATGACCAAATTAACACTAAAAACCTAAAATCTAAAATCAAGGACCAAGACTAATATAATACCAACACTGACAGTGTGTAATATAATGGATCATCTAAGACACTTTGGTAGAAAATCTACATAACATAAGTCGTTCATTTTGGTAGGTAGGTCTGTGAGTGGTTGTACCATCACTGGCACTTGTCGGGTGTTATCTCATCCACATTTGCCCCCCCCCCCCCCCCATTTGTTTTTTAGGGTCTGGCGCCGACACTGCGTATTATTAGCACGTTCGTACGTATTATTTTGCACATTATTTTGAAAACCGACATGACTATAATATAGCAATAGGCATACGCTGGCTCAGCGGCGTAACTGGGCTATTTTCTGGGAGCACCTGGGGGAGCACCAATTTTTGAGGGGGACACTGAAGGCAATCGATCAACTTGAGCGAGCGTAGTCTACGGAATACGCAGGTCATTTTAGCGTCAAAAGAAAAAAAAGAAAAGGTAAGAATAGTACCAGCTTCACCTACTTTGAGCTCTGTTATACTAGCTGTTCCAAAGTAATATAATCAGCGGCCATTTTCCTATAGGGGGCGCTCTTCAAAACCGGCCATTATTATGCAAGCTACGCATTATGTGCCCATTTCAGGGCGCATTGTAGGAGTTTTGGGGCTGGGTTTTCATATTCCTCGTTCATATCAAAAATATCAATACCATTTTGGAAATTAGTTACTTAAAACAAAGTGCCGCAAACTTTTATGGCAATTTTTTTATCTGGAGGGGCCACATTTTTGCTCGAGGGGGCACATTATGTCCGCAAAAGGGGCACTTGGGTAAATGGGGGGGGGGGGGCAAGTGCCTCCGGCCCAGCGCCCCCCCCCCCCCTCCCCCCCCCCCCCCCCCCCCCCGTTCCGCCGCCCCTGAATACAATGTAGTGAGTCTATTGTCTTGTAGTGTTTTTGTTAGTTAAAGACGACTGCAGTTTCATTGGCAATTAACTTGCATAGCAAGTGACCAACGAGACAACCTTGCCCCTTGCCAATTCAACCCGGCCCACTGATCCCTTGACTAATTCGCCCCTGGCAAACTCGCACCCGAGATTAAATTGTACATGTACAATGTATGTCCGCATGCAAGAGTTATTTTTATTGGCATATTTACTGAACGGCTAATTTGTGTTGAGCCTATGCTTTTTCTGTCGGAGAATTGTGGTAGGCCTAGTGTAAAGCATTGCAGGACTATGTTTTGCATTTTTTGTCTTTTACCCTGCTCAAAATGTAGAACGTGGTAGAAATGAAACCTACGAGTTATTTTTTTTCATAATTTTTTTAACTCCTGTGTATGGCCGGCCTGACCTACATGGGTTCAGTGCACTAATTCAAGTGCGAATTTCTACGCGAGCTCATTAGCATAAAAGTACCCCCCCCCCCCACAACTTCCTTTGAAAACGAAGACGTTTGGTATTAAAAACGGTGGAATTGTGTAAATATAGTCAAGGATCAACTTTGTGGTTTTTGGGCTTCCATCTGAGGGCAGCTTGGTAAATTACGTTTGAAAATCGGGTCCTATTTTGCCTGAGAAAGTGGAAGGATGCCACTTGTAAAATGGCTACATGCAGGCTTGGGAACTATAAATTATGTATCACTTTTCGGGAGTTGATTTTGTTTTGGTGGGAACATTTAAAAAATGTAATAGGCTAGTGTACCAGAAATTGAAAAGAAATGAAAAGATGAAGGACAGGACAATAATTGATTTTTGTTTGAGAAACCCCAGTGATGTCGGCTTGTGCGCGAGTCATATACTTCTACCAAGACGTGGCCTGATGGCAACATCTGCCACCGAGGGGCACAGCAGGGTATAGGCCTAAGCAGTCTCGGACCTCGGTGTACAAGAAAGGGGCGTTCGATTGACAAGTTGCAAATTTACCCGTGGTGCATCTTGTTGGGGGCTGTAGGGGTTGGAACACCATGTGACCACTCCCATTCAGTCACTGACTGATGTTATACAAGTATCTCGAAATTCAAAAAGGCAGAAGAAAGCATCACAGATTTCAACATTTTCCGGGGGGGGATACCCGTACCCCCTTGCTCAGGGGCGGCAGAACGCTTTTCAAACTTGGGGCAACACCAAAAAGGGGCACTTGCTCAGTAAAAGGAGTGCACCTTTCGTCGGTGCGAAAGGGGAGGAAAAAGAATATATATATGGTCCCGTTTATTTTAGAAACCTATTACGAGGAACAAATTATGAATACGTTGTCCATGCATCTAGTCTGGTTCCCAGACCAAAAGATTCTGACTATTCCCGATGAATCTTAGGTCCGGTAGCCTCCGGTAATACATTGTATTACAATTTACGTCACGTGACTAAAACGTAAGCACTATTTCACGTCGTGGACGTCCTAACGGTCCTACGTTAAGCAATTTTTTCCCCGAGGTATACAGTTTGATGTTTCTGTAAGATAACATTGACTAATGTTGATCTGGAATCTTCAAAATTATAGGCACCCAAATAGCACTGTTAGCAGGCGGAGCCGAATGAAGACCGAGTTTGGAAAATCTCAGTAACGGTGGTCAAATTCAAAATTGTACATGACGCAGCAAAAAGTTCGCCTGTACGATCCGAGTATATTTGATGCACAAAATCGTCGTTGAATTTCAAGTTTTCTAAATGAAAGCAATGAATATTAATTATCAACTCATTAAAAAAAAATCATAAGCAGTTAGCAGTTAATTAAACCTATATTATATTCGGAAATAATCGGGCGCTATCCGATTGTCGACGAAACGAATTCGGCAAACTTCGGACATTTTCGGAAAAAGGAGGAATTCCTCCCGTTTTGGTCACGTGACGTAAATTGTAATACAGTGTATTACCGGAGGCTACCGGACCTCAACCTCGTCCCCAGGGTGTCGAGCAGTACGCGCCCACCACTACCTGCTCTCTCACCCTGGTATTGGATCATTTTGCATGTGCAAGATTTTTGCACACGTATGCAAATGAGGAACAGTCTGGTGCCTGGATATGCATTACACATTAGCGTTTGTTTTTGTATGCGGTGTCTGGGGTAAAAACAGAGTCAATTCGTAGCAGCGCGAGCACGGCGTGAGTTACGAAAACACGATTTTTGAAATCAAACTGTTACGATCTTATCAAGACAACATGCAGTATCATATTTCATATTAATATGAGCAAATTGGAAAGGAAATTAGTATTTTCGAGAAGGCGTGGACGAATGATCGCGAAAACACGTACTGCACGTTGTGAATATATAGCACCAAGTACACGATAAAAATCCATTACTAGCCAATTGCGGTATCCAATCAGGATACAGGAAGAAAGTTTCCTATCCAGGGTTTACTATGGAAACGCGGTTGGAAATAAAGTAAGCACTGGGGACGAGGTTGCGTACCCATGGAAAGAGGCGAATCTTAGAAACGTTATTTTTCAGTCGGATACTACTTGTATAGCAGCAATTTTCTTTTTCTTTTCTGATCCGATGCTCTGGAGGATTTTTTTAAAAGGGAAATAAAGTCCGAAATCCGTACCAAGTGAAAAATAGTAGCCTCCACTCCAGCCTGGTTTTAATAAAATGCCCAATAGGAAAGCGCACAGGTACCCCATATAGTGTGTAATAAAAAAAATATCGCTGCCTGGAGAATCACGTGCTGGAGGACAAAAATGCGCGCTAGACGTAAAGAACGCAACGCCATTTACGCGCACAATGCGTGTCTATTTCTGTTACTTGAGACCTTCTGCTAACAAGAGAAAAAATAAGAGAACACCGTTCTCATAATGTTGGAACCCCATTCTACACTTGTTGTTTATTTCAAAATAGATAAATATGATTATGACTATAGGGCCTACTTAGCAAAATTAGTTGTCTTAAAGGGAATGTACAACATTAATTTTGCTTGCTGCAATTTTCAGAAATAAATGGATTTTGTGGATTAGTATGTTATAGCAAATACTGTTAAAATT